TATATATACACATGTATACATATGTACATGATCAAAAACAGCAGAAAATGACATAGAGAGTGTTTCCGTGCACACATGAAAGAGAAACCATAATCTTTAGAAGCACTAGAATAGAACCCAATGTAAGAATCTTGTCATACCGTACGTATGAAAAACAAAACATATTTTTATGAAGGCTTGGTGTTAAACACGCAGAAGCTGAATGAGCTATTGAAGCTTGTCGACAACAAAATTTTATGAAGGATACTTTACACTTTTTTTTATTGCATTGCAATGAAACATTATCACGTCGTTCAGGTTTCTGTAAGTTTATTTTTTTATTGTTTATTTTTAAAACCGTTGTATACAAATAACATTAACGATTTTTATAAATTTTGCAAAGGGGAGATCTGTACATAAAGATGCGAACGATATCCCACCGATTAATATGTAATGTCTTTCGCTTTTTACTAAGTTAAATATTTTCTAAACTATTAATCGTGCAGTTACGTAGAGAGAAAATACTGAATTAATCTACTCGTTAAATTTCAAACTAAACGAAATTTCCATTTCAAATTGATTAATACTTTTACGAACCATTGAAAAACATGGCCGAAAATGTGGCAATATTTTAATTGATAAAAAAATTTTATTTCGCGTTCTTCGACATAATTTCGCTGATACTATACAAAGTTGACAGTATTTTATATTTTATGATACAGTTCCAAATTTTTGCTCGTACGGATACATTTATATATACATATATCTATATGCATACATGCATACGTGTGCGTGCGTGCGTGTGTGTATGCGTATGTGTATGCGATGTGTATGTGTATATGTATGTATGTATATAAATATATGTATATATTTACAATATACATATATGTATATTTATATACACATATATTTTTACGATTTTACGAGAATCGTACTATAAAAATTTTTACAGCGTAAGATCATTGCGAGTTTACGTAGTTTTTTTATATATCGTTTTTTACATTGTTTTTATACATATTTTTTCGTTAAATCTTTTTAACCTTCGTTGAGCACTGATTACGTTAATAAGGTTTTTCGCTTGGGCGTAAAACACTTTTGATACTTCCTTGTTTATTTTTTGTCCATATTATACGTACATGAACGGCCTTGTTCAAGCAGTCGCCATTAAAAAGTACTAGTTTCTTTTCCTTGTATTTATCCACACTTGGAAAGTTATCCTCGCGGACTGTGATCGTTTCGGACAAAATGACACTTGCCTACCGGTTGTCTAACTTGTCTGACCCCATTTTTTTTCTTATTTTGTAACTCCCTACTGTATGTAGTATTATTTATCGTGCCATTTTTTCCGAGCTCCTTTCGCCGATACTACTTCTTGCCATAAGTACGCGAGCATTCGATCTCAGATAATCGAAGCTTTTTTTTTTTAATTGTTATATGCAACAGCAACAATACAACGTTGAATGTACGCGTAACGTATAATTCACGTGATATAAAACAAAAGGATTAAAGAAAGCAAAACATGTAAACGTAGTTAGGAATGTGATGCGCAAATACTAAAGGGAGAGAAAGAATAAGAGAAAAAGCAAAATGGAATCCTTCATATTCGTTGGGAGAACGACGCGTTCCAGAGATCCATCGCTATTTATTACAAAAATAGATAAAGTATTTTGTAATGAAGAAAAATAATAACATAGAAAATATATAAAAATCTATTGCCGATATATTTTTAATTACTAGTTGAAGCGTGAATGTTTGTATAGCGTGTTCGTCACAATCGTTTTAGGAACTTGTGATAATTTTATAAAAACAGTCTCATACACAAGTGGCAATCGTATGGTACATATTCGAAAGTGCAATCGAATCGCCGGGTAAAATGTCGAAAATATTCTTTTTTTATTCATTAGAAGCTCATAGTTGCCTTGAGTTTATAATTGATAAAAGAACGAATTCTTATAATTACTTATAAACCGTTATATTGAAATATCAATATTCACACTTACAATAAATCAATATGTAATCACACTTGATAATTATACGTATGTTTGTATATTACAATTACATATTCATTTTTGGTACAAATTCTGCGAATAAGTGGTAATCTTATAACTTTTCTGTAAAATGATATCTATGATATTTATGCATGGACATAATACTCACTAATGGACAAAATATTGTGATTTGGTGTAGATTCGCTGAAAGCTAAGCTTTCAGCGTATTCGCACGTTTCGTGAGTACTTAGTTATTACCCAGGAGTTGACTTATTTTCGTCTCGCGATAAATTGATTCTTTAAGAATGGAGACGTGGAGATATTATGGCTTCATATTGGTATCTGTTTAAATGAAATATATCGAGAAAGTATAATTAAAGATATAAGACATTCGGCTGAACAGAAATATACTGTATAAAACAAACAATCTTGTAACAAATATTCCAATACTTGAATCCGATGATTATTTGTGGAAAATGTCAGAACAAGTACGACGAGATAAATTTTTGTTGTTATATTTCTTTGTTATTACTTCTAATTGACAATTAAAACGTGACACCCCTTTTTTATTGTAATATCTGTGATTTCGGAAAGGAATTCTAAAATTATGAAAACAACTCATTGACTTTTAACGAGATGCACATATTTGTAAACAATTAAACAATTGTTATATGTTATATGTTAGTAGAATTTTTATCGAATTATCATGAATGTATGCCTAGAATGTTATTACGACGATCACTCTGTATACACATGGTTGTTTTATTTTTTAACTGAAACCTCAGTTGTTTGCCCCAACCTGTTACATCAGTTTCGAGTTATGATACTAGTCTTCTTCCATAGAAAGTTCATTATGTAACTCTTCCGCATCATGTTTCTAGCGTCATACGTTCTAGCAAGTAATATGAAAAATTCAGGATCCGCCAGACCTCAAGTATAAGGATGTACTAAAAATATATTATTATTATATATATATATATATACATAAAAAATATATATATATAAAAAATGAGCTGTATTATTATATAAAAGAATACTCCACCGCCATGTACTTGTAACCGTAAAGAGAAAAAAAACAGAGAGTACACCTTAGATTATACGTTTAGCGAGTAAGTTTGTATACAAGAAGAAAAAAATAAGAAATTACTACGAAGGGGAAGCATAAAAAAAGTGTGCGCTAGATGGAGAAGAATGCGTTCTTGTGTGTGTACGTGTGTGTTGGTGTGTGTGGTTTGCGAGAAAGAGAGAGAGAGAAAGAGCGCGCGCGCGTGGCGTATAAACATATGTGCTCATCCGTGCACGTATAACACGAGCAGCAGGGAAAGAGTAAAACGGATGAAAAGGATGTGCAAGAGAGAAAAAGAGCCTGTGAGGAATTACAAAAAAGAAGCGTCGGCACACGAATAGTTGCATATACCGTGACAGAAAGATATATACGATTTTCTGGAACACGGGCATGTACTATGCGATTAAGATTATTGACAGATAGCTTTACGATTTATAAGAAATGAGTGAGATAGAGGGAGGGTTGGCAGGAGGCGAGAGAGAGAGAGAGAGAGAGAGAGAGAAAGATTTCGAAAGTCCGGGTTACGATTTTTTGAACGATTAAACAAATGAAAGGCTCAAGAAGCGGTCTATTTTGAAGGTTAACCAAGAGAACCTGATGGTATTTCCATTTTCGACGAGGCGGATGGTTCAAACGGCTTCTTTAGTATTAATCGGAGCCGACGGCTTCGTCGAGGTGTGCAGGCGTAGTTGGTGTTCCTAGAGAATAAAAGAAAAAAGAAAGGAAGGAAGGCAAGAAGAAAGAGAGAAAGAGAGAAACAAGTGGAAAAAATAAACAGTCGAATGCGTCTTTAAAGAGAAAAGAAAAACAATTCTCCGGTGCCTTGGCATAGCGCTGGACTGTTTCCGTACACGCACACATTTTTTCCAACCCAAACCGAGTCTAAGGAATGGCCCTTTGCGTAGCTCTTTCTGGGACACCCTGTATCCTCTGTTCTTCTTCCGTCTCCCGTTTCGAAACTTTTTCTTCGTTTTTCGCCATCCCGACTCTTTTTGCGCCGCGAAACGAGCTACAGAACCGAACAAAAAGAAGATTAACGGGCGATGGAGAGAGAAACAAAATGAGATATTTTTTAATAATGCAAAAAAATGTTTGAGAGGAAAAACGTATGTTTTTATGACTGGGGAGTAAGAAAGGAAGAAAGGAAGAAAGGAAGAAAGAAAGAAAGAAAGAAAGAAAGAAAGAAAGAATGAGAGAGTGAAAGAGTGAGAGAAATGTTTTTTACGGTGACGAGGGGTGTCAACATAGAAAAAGAAGGAACAACAAGCCTTTTTGTACTGCTCTTTGTCTAACGTCGAACAGTTTTTGTCAATCGGGTTTCGCATCGTTTTCGTTGATAGAATAGGTACTTAAAAATTTAATTAATCAAATTTTTGAAATTAACATTTCTCAATGAAATGAAATATTTTTATTAATCTATTGTAAT